GCCAAGCTGCCATAACCATTTTTTGTAAAAACAATTAAATATTATTTTAAAAACGATTATGACTTTTATTATGAAAATTTTGGTGATTATTGGTTAATTTGAATAAGTTGGATCCATCGACCTTTGGGTTAGGTAGGTCGAATACCTAAAAACGTTTTTTAAAAACAATTTAAAAAAAAATCATTTTTAGACAAAAAATTGTTCTGTGTTTACAAAGATTCGATTAAAACGGGTTCGGGAGTCGATTACGCGTGGGGAAGGGTAAGCACCAAACAACGCCCAAAATTGGTACTGTGTCACTTACACATCGTTGTAAATGGTGGAAATGATGAATCGAATATAAAGTTAACCTATGATTCGTTTATTGAGATTTAATTAATTTGACTTGAATTATTTAATTATGGAAAATTCTTTAACTTGAAAAGAAACCTCAAGATTAGCAATCCTCCATCGAAAAAGCTATCTCGTCTATTTCTTATCTATAAAAAATATTCCCTCATCAATAAATATGTGAATCGAATATATAAAAATCGATTTTTACATACAACAAAATAAATTGATTAACTAAAAAAATGAATCGAATATAAAATGTAGAATGAAGATCGAAAATTTGCATGAAATGAAATAAATTATTATTTAGAGACATTCATTGCAATGTACGACTTAAAATGAAATGAATTAATAATTAGCAAAATACAATTAATTTATTTAAAATTCGTATTTGGTTCGAATGTCATATTGGATTACATCACTTTGATCAAATGGTGCTTTCCACGCCCGTTCTACAAATACGTATTCTTGAAATATTCGGATAATATTTAAATAAAGAAATACAATGGAAATAAATATAAATAGAAATATGTGAAATAAAATATTTATAACATAACGTAATAACATTTATTTAATGTTATACCTAAAAATATACAACATGTTAAATATATACATTCATAAGGGATTAAAACAGAGCAATAAAAAATTTAAATAACCAAAATATGATTAACAGAAACTTGAGGACCAAAATAGAAAAAATAGAAACTTTAAGGACTAAAATAGCAGAAATAGAAACTTAAAGGACTAAAATAGAATAAATAGAAATTTAAAGGATTAAAATAGTATAAACGGAAACTTAAAGGACTAAAATCATAAATACACATAAACTAGAGTCAAAAACGAAAATATTAAACAGTACATGTACTATAAATGTAAATAACCCATAAATAATATTATGGACTAAAATGAAATAAATAGAAACATAAAGGACTGAAACATAATTAAACTAAATGCCAACAGTGACTAAAATAAGAGATTTATAAATGTTATAGCCAAATTCAAACATCAAGGAAAATATACAAAACATTAAATCAGTGACTAAAATGTAACATTTATAAACATTGGGATCAAAGTCAAATATTAACAATAATAACATAATATGTAATAATAGGACTAAAATATAAATATGGAAACATGTGTGTTCAAAATAAAAGAAAATAAAAATTCATTAAATGGCTTCACACTGAGATTACAAAGTACGAGGACCTAAATGGCTATTGTCCCCTAATGTGAAAACACAGAGAAATAAGGGTGCAAAACGACAGCGTTTTGCTCCAAATATTTAAGCCCCAATCAGGCTTCTTCTCTCACTTTCCCCTCATTTCCCCATTTTCCAAAAATAAAGAGAGAGAGAGAGTTGAGAACTCTCTTAAACTCTCTCAACTGAAAAGAGAACGGCCACGACAGTCGACGGGTACACTGCGTCCAGAGAATGCCAACCGGCCCCCAAATTATTCATTTCTTCACACTCAACCCAAAACCTGACTCATATTTCCCTAAAACATACCCTAGCCTCCTAGATCTAGGGATTACCTCTCGGCAGATTTGGAAAATGGTGACCTCTCGACTTCTCGGCAAACTCTGATCAAGGTAAGGGTTCTCTTCCTCTTTCCTTATTTTTCTTTTTTTTCGAATGTGTTTTAGATCTCTCGGTTTATCTTTTTTTTTTCGGGTTCTCTCTTTTTTCTCTCTATTTCTTTTTTCCCTCTAAAACTCTTTGTCCACCGAATGATTTCTCTCTTTGTTTTATGGTATGCTTTCTTTAGTTGCTGGAATCATTAGATCTAGAAATAAGATATGTTATCTGATTTGGGGTTCTACTAACTAATATCTACTTTTGATTGATGGGGTTATTGTGTGCAGGCGGCCGACTGAGACAACTCTAGCAGGAGCGGCGGCGGCAGAAGCTACCTAGGGTTATGATGAAACCCTAGGTGAGCTGGGTCGAGTCGGATCTGGGTCTGGATCCGATTCGAATGCTGGGCATGTCACTACTGGTGGGTTGCTGAACCGGGTTCCAATTGGGTCTGAGTTGATGGGTAATTTGTGTTGGGCCTCATTTGGGTCCTGGTTGACCTGCAAATATTTGTAATGTAATTGTTAATATTAATATATAATAATAATAATAATATAATTAAAATAATATTTTTTTGTAGACACAGACAAAAACGAGTGTCTACAGGATGTTTGTCGGGTTAAAGTTGTATTTACACCTGTTGATGTCCATCTCCTTCTTAATTGTCTGATGGCTCCTGTTTCGTTTGATGTCCGAGTTTGGAGTGGGCACTCGTCTAGGATATATAGTGTTCGATCTGGGTACTCGTATCTCATGCGCTAAACTGCTTCACCTGTCCCAGTTTCTCTCCTTTGGTTGCAGATCTCTTGTTTGCCACTTCCTCCGAAATTTCATCTCTTTGGTTGGAGGATGACTCACGAGGCGTTGCCCACTGTACGACGTCTTATTATTGCACGGATTGGCAATGGTCACTGCTGTCTTTGTGCTCGGAATGATGAAACTATGTTACATGCTCTCCGTGACTTCCCGTACATTGCTAATTACATTCTGCATGTTGCTGGTTTTACATCGGATTCGGATGCTTTGTTTGCTCCACAGGATTCTGCTGGATATTGGTTACAGGCCCTTTACAATATGCTGCCAGAGTCGTCAATGGTTTTCCTTTTGATTGTATTGTACAATATTTGACATAGACGCAATTTATTTCTTCTTGAAGGTCGATTGCTTCCCTGTTGGCAGACTATTTATTCTAGTCGAGCTTTACTTTCCGCATACTCTGATGCACATGGTCGCTCCAACACCTCTTCTACATTACTTGGCAATGTACACCGCTGGTGTAAACCACAAGAAAACTCCCTGCCCATCAATGTCGATGGAGCTTGTCCACCATCTTCTGGAAATCCAGCAGTAGGTGTTATTGTCAGGGACCATCAGGGGTTAGGTGTTATTGCTGGTCCTAATGTTCCAAATCTTATTGAAGTTTCTGCCGTCACACAAGGCATTTTTTTTGGCACTTGAGTTGGAGTGTTCAAACATCCGGATTGAACGTGATGCGGCGAATGTCGTTCAATAATTGGTTGATACATCTTCTGACCTCTCAATATTATCATTTCACCTTCAGGAGGCTCGTCCTCTACTAACTATCCATCGTCGTATTAGTGTTCACTTCGTCTGGCGCTCGGCTAATATGGCTGCACACGGCCTTGCAACCTTTGCCTTATCACTTGCAACACCAGTTTATTATGTTTATGATTCTCCCCCATGTATGTCGGACGTTTTAATTGCTGATGCTATTAATGGCTAATGCAATCGAACTATGTTTTCTCTCAAAAGAAAAATACAGATTATTTTTATATATATACAGGATGGACTCTCAATAATCTATACATTATATTAAAAAGATGTTAACCAACATTTTCTTATATCATTGTAACATTTTTTTTCTTATTGGTTAGGCGTTCATCTCTTTTCTTTTTCATCTTTATTGATTGGAGACTGCACCAATTGTAATGTTTGTTGTCGACTGCTGATATTTCTTTATTATCTTTTTCATTTCTTATATCGTATCTCTATTTCTTTTGTTTTTTATTTTTAATAAGTCTACCTCTATAGCACGTTTTCATATGCTTTTGTGGCACGCTTTCTTTTGTCTTTTAATATATTTTTCGATCATTTGGTAATTTTATTCATTTATCTTTTTCTAAGGGTTGATTTAACATTGCTATGACTGATCAAGATAGCGCTTATCTTATATCATGTTGATTTTCCCTGCTTTGGACACTCATAGTGGATTTGGATGCCCGTTTTGCGTTGTGGATAGCTTTTCAAGTCGCTAAAGTCTGATTTGTGATTTTGTCGGTGGTCTTTTAATAGCTTAATTTTTTTTGTGGTTCATTTTCCAATACGATCAGATTTATTTGTATTTATCTTTATTCGAGGTTTTTGGTTATATTTTTAATCTTTCCTCGTATGGTCTTTATGATCTTAAGTTGTTAATCTTGCTTGAATGATTATAGAAATTGTTTTTAATTATGTGTTTAATTTACTATTCTGTATATAAATTTTTATTATAATTTGTAATATTTCTTATTTTAAATAAAATTAGTTGCTTCGGTTCAAAAATAATAATAATAATTTGTTTTTTATTTAAAAACAAATAAAACAATCATTTTACTACATTCTTTAAACCATAAGAAGGAACAAGGGCGAATGGTAATGGGAGAGTTTTGTCCCCAATTTCTCTTTTTGGAAAATTAACATACCCCTTAAAACTTTTTAGAAATTTTGATTAATTTTTTTCAAATATTTTTAATTTAGTATCTCCCAAAACTTATAAAAGTTCTAATTAAATATCAATTAAAAAACAGTTGAACCCCCAAACTTTTTAAAATAATAAATTAAACCCTTCATTTCTTTTTAAAAAATAAAGTAGATCCCTCGAACTATTTTGTCAAAAATGAAGTAGAAATATTTCATATAGCCCGGAGCCATTTTAAAACAGATTCAGAAAACCCGTGCTCCAAATAGGGTTACCCTGCAAGACGGAGTATCCTTGTGGTCCAAGAGATTCAAAGATGCCTCTCTTATAACCAAAACAATGAAAATGTTATAATTTAAGACTACTGTGACTTTGTTTTCCTTGGTACAGTATAAATGCAATACATTGATTTCACGATTACAAAGAGAACGGCTAAAGCCCCCATGCAGAATTACAACTAGAGCCGAAAGGCGATGGTTCGGTGGTTTCACCGAGAGCAATATCACCGGGAAAGATAAAACTGAACTCTTGGCAGTGCATGAGAATCAGATGATCCGAGAATCGGTAAATCCGGACAGATCAGTTGACCGTATTCATATGCTACTTCAACTTTTAACTATAAGCTTAGCAGCAGAAGTTGCCTAATATCGCTTTTGCAGTTGAAATCACGGTTTACTTCTATGTCTTCTGTTTAAGGAAATGCCGTAATTGGACCTTCTGTGTTTCCATTCTTGCCTGCAGAAGTTTCGCCTTCAAACTACTCTTGTGCGGACCAAGAGGCCATTCGATGCACCCTTTCATCCCTCTTGTTAAGTTTGGATGACCCGTGTCGGGTGAACTCCACTGTCCCCCATGTCTGACCATTTATCTGGGGACATGATACTACAGTTAGACTTTCGTCCATCTAAATGCCGGCCATTTGTTCCTTCTACCGAAATTATCTTGTAATTTTCTCCATTGTTTGGGCATGATCTCCAAAGCCTTGCTACGGATGAAACCTTCTTGTACTGTCTAGCAGGTAACTAACAAACTTCGCTGGTTTACATGACTGGGAAATCTCCACATGCATTTTCTTCCCATTCGATTCCACTACCGAGAAATTACTGGCCCGACAATTCTTGTTTACCGACACTGAGCTCCCTTCTGGTGAATAACTAGAGCCCTGATCCTCAAGATGGCTGACAGTTTCCCACCCACTCTCGTCTTCCTCTATCTCATCATTCTGATCAAAATGTGCATTTGAATGTCTCGGAATGACACCTTTTTTCATCATGTTCATTTCGGGACTCACCATATGAACTTTCGAGGCATGGCTGGCAGGACAATATGCAACAGATGGTTCAGTTTCCCTTTCATTACCTTCAGCTAAAGCCATGTCTTCAAAAACAGCGAAAATGTCATCTAGGTTTGAGGGCTCATACGTAAATTCTTCGATTTCTTTAACGTTAACTGATGCAGCAGCCTGTCTAAGCACTTCCGCTTCTCTCAGGTCTTTCACATCAAGAGTTCCAGTCCTTGATCTTAGAAAAGTCTCCAAATCAGCTACAAGCTTGTTCATCTGTGAATATCTCTCTTCAAGTGCTACCTTTGCATCGATGAGCTTCATTTGGACACGTTCTTCACGCCAGACCTCAGCCATCTTCAACATCTTTCTTTCCTCGTCAACCTCCTCCAGATGCTTCATGGAATCTCGCCTTAATGCTTCAACTTCAGCCTTGTCTTCTCCAATTTCCTTAGCAAGCTCATCACATACTTCTTCAATCAATTCTCTTGCCTTTCTTTCCTTTTCAAAGTCCTGCATATATTGCTTTGCTGATAACTTGGTACCAGCCAACTCGTTCACCAATTTCGAATTGACAATTTCAAGCCTCTGACGGTTTTTCTTTTCCCGGTTTAATTCAGCTTTGAAATCCTCAACAAATGCACGTATTTTCTCATGCTCTCTGCTCCGCCACACCGCCCTTTCCTCACTAACCTTCCTCAAGAACTGCTCGAGTTTTTTCTTCGAGGTCCGGCGCTCAGTCTCAAGTTCCTCAATCCGAGCTTGAGCCTGCTCTAACTCAGCTTCAAGGGCAGAAACAACTGATACTGCACTTACTTGCTGGTCAATACGCTTTATACGGCCATAGAGTTTCTGTGCATCATCATCTGTTCCTTTTAAGCCAACAGGATCCCACTTTGTAGCTCCCTCCATTGCCGAGTTTGAAAACGGAATCGAAGGCTCAATCTTAAAAAGGAGAAAAGGCAGCTTAAGATCAGAAAGAGTAAAGAAAGTGAGACCCCTCCCCAGTTTTTGTGTACTATAGCCACCTAAAACCATGCTTGAGAATAAATACACGAATCTAAGCAACAACCCCTCTACGGCTTTCTTACAAATATCCCGGTTTTAGGTGAATCGACTAGTTCATTAGCTGATAGAACTAAATCAATGTGGTTTCGTGTAGTGAACTAGTGATAAGTAATCTGCATTTCTATTCTTTCCCATTACGGTTTGTACAGATTTGTCAACAACCCCTAACAGGCAATGACAATGTTTAAGGTTTTAATAGATTAATACCATATCTGTCCGACACAAATAAATTTTCATACCAGTAAACACTAAACTCATTCTGCATGTATCTTGGACCAAGCCTTCAGTTTTCGATATTGACCATGCCATTAAACGTTCAAAATTCAGTCGATGGATGAAGCAGCATACCTTATAAAGGAGGCCGTTCTTTGTGCCAGAGACAGAGCACGGGGTCTGTAACGGATCCTTCGCATTCGAACCGAAAATCCTGTTCTTGTGATGATAAAGGAAAGGCACATCCATAAAACCATCACTAGGCTGCATGAAATCACAAGGCAATGAGCTCAAACATCCCGAAATCGCAACTCAAATTTCGTAACCATTTCGAGATCAGTAAAACTACACAAGAAACGGAATAAGCAGACATAATTTTCAGATGCAACTAAAACGAGTTGTTGAATGCATTCATCGAGAATCAAGCAAATCGTAAACAGGAAGGAACAGAGTAACCCTTTATGGATAGAACTCCAGTAAAACCATGCTCATTAAAAGCTTCTCATAATTAGACAAAATAAAATCATATCATTCAATGCAATGATGGCAAAGCTTCAAGCGTGATAAATGCATCAGAAGGCAGACTTTTTATGGTACAAAATCAGATCAATCAATTACATTTTAGCAACAAGTTAAAGATTCATTCCTTTTGTGGGTAAAATCTATAGCATTTTAAACATCAAAAACTAATAAAGCAGCAACGAATAGCAACGGGAAATAAATCTCACCTTAAATCCCAACCAATCCCTCCTCTCTCCGACAGGAGTCGCCGTATTCGGCAAATGCAACCGCCACAATCCAGCTGCAAGCTTCCTCACCGAAACCGCTGGCGAATCTTTCTTCCGTCGTCCCCTAGCAACAGTTCTCCGGCCACCGTCCCCCTCCTCGAGCTCATCCTCAACTCCACGGCCTTTCTCTTTCCAATCTGTCTTCCATCTTAACAAAGGGGTATCCGGTTTGCTCTGCCGCCCCACCAGCGACGCACCAACCCTATTCCGCCTTGTGTTCCGCGTCTTTCGTTTCGCCCTCAGCTTGAGATCCACGTCCGTGGGGTTCCACCCTCGAAATGTAGCCGGTAAACTCATTTGCTCTGTCTCCTTCATCCCTTCTCGAACTTAAACCTCTTCCATCTTAAACCTCATTTGCTCTGTCTCTTTCCAATCTGTCTTCCATCTTAACAAAGGGGTATCCGGTCTGCTCTGCCGCCCCACCAGCGATGCACCAACCCTATTCCGCCTTGTGTTCCGCGTCTTTCGTTTCGCCCTCAGCTTGAGATCCACGTTCGTGGGGTTCCACCCTCGAAATGTAGCTGGTAAACTCATTTTCTCTGTCTCCTTCATCCCTTCTCGAACTAAACCTCTTCCATGAACAGTCCAAAACAAAACAAAAAAACAAGAAAAACCAAGTTTTCTTCCTTCAAAAATAAAAAACCAAAACAAGTAAAGAAGAAAAAGAAGAATGGTTCGAAAAGTCGGTTCAACAAATTAAGAAATTCTGTCTTTTCTCTTTTTCATTTGTGAAGTGTGTGAAAGTGAAAAAAAACAAATGAAATGAAATGAAAAGGGAGAGAAAAGGTTAGCTGTGCGAGGATTGAGAATCAGTGTGGGATTGTATTATTTCTTTTCTTTGATAGAGATAAAGACGAAACTCAGATGTGTATGAAAATACGTTAATACAGTTACCGTACTTCTATACGGTCAACGTATACTAGGGATTCGGGATTCAAGGATACGACGCCGTTTTGTGGTCGACAAGGACGCAGCTTCATTACTTGATTAGTGGTGTGGTGGCCGGTGGAATGCGGAGAGACGTTGTAAATTTTTTATTTTTTAAAATAGGAAAACTAAACGACTACGTTTTGGACGGATGAGATATGGCTGGGTTGTAAATGAGATAGGCATATCGTGACTTGAGTTTGATTTGATCAATATTTGAATTAAATAAATTTGAATTAAGCTTGAACTCGACTTAATTTTTTAATAAGTTAAAATAAATTAATTGATATCTAATTTAAAAAGTTTGTGAGTAATTTAAAAAAATAATATATTATTTTAAAAAAAATTAAATTATTAATAATATTAATATTTCTTTATTGTTTTTTAAATAATATAATATTTTTATGTACTTAAGGTTTAATTCGAGTTTCAATATAGTTCAAGTTTTAACCGAACTAAGTTCTAAAAATTATGATTTCAAGTTTTTTGAACCAATTTTAAGTTCGCAAATTTCGAATTGAGTTTAAATTTAAATTTTTAAGTCGAATCAATTTCAACAATATTTGAACTCAACTCCACTTATTTATATCCCTAGATTGAGGATATTTTATAATTAGGGTAAATTTTTTTGTAAAATTATTGGAATTTCTGGGTTTTTTAATCGTAAGGAATCTGAGTTGATTATGAAAGAAATATTGGTTTTTATCAAATTTTAAGTTTCTTTATTATTGCGTTTTTTATTTAAACCTTAAATTATATGTAACATTTCTTTTAATGGATTTGAGAAACTATTTTTTGCTTAATTGTTTTGAGTCTTTCTATAAAATTGTATATACTTATTTTCGTTCGGGGACTTTAAGGGTCCAATAAAAGAGTCCAAGGGTCCATTCGGGTCCAAAATGAAGCCCAACCGGGTAATACCAGCCTGACTTAGTAAGCAAACCCGAAGGCCCAGCTAAGCCCATCTACCTGACCCAGTAGGTTAGGGTTTTATACATAGTATTTGCATCGTAATCAACCAGGGCCGTTAGATCTGAACTTTTGATCTAACGACCGAAAATGCATCAAATCACCAATCAACGGCGCGTGGAAGCTACGCGCCAGCAAGGTCACCAATCGGACAAGATTTCTGGAGTGAAACAGAAGCAAAAGGAAAAATATTTCTCCGATTTTTCAGCCAACTTCAGCAACGAACATCGAACATGCAAATCGGGTCTGCACCATCCTGAGATACTTAGAAACAACCACCGACAGGGGGTTATATAAACCCCAAAATACATTAAAGTAAGGTCAAAGAGAAACCGAACCAAAGGCATCACATAGCAAAAGAAAATAAAACAAAAAAAAAAGCAACCAAATATCGAGCAACCAAGCAAAAACAAAACAAAAACCATTCGAACATCGTCAAAATATCACAGAAAAAATCAAGACTTTTCTTCATCAAAAGGCGTCGAGAACGTGGAGAAACCTCATCGGAAAAGAAAGGTCACCAGAAGGTGAAGAGACTCGTCAGAAAAGGTAAAAACCGAAAGTTATTTTTAGATCTAGGTCGCGGGTTTCAATTTTTGGGTGTTTGGAGGGATATTTTGGTATCGAGGTGTCGAGAGAATTGTTTTGGGGGTAGGTATAGGTCCTTCGACCACCGGTGGTAGTGACCGGAGCGGCGGTCGACGGTAGTTCTCTAAGTGTCGGCGGGTGGCCCGGCTAGGTAGGGGAGAGAATTTGAGAGAGAGTGAGAGTTTTTTTTTAGAAATGAGTGAAAATGATTTTTTTGGGATTTTAGGGCCATTTATAAGGAGGGACTTTTTGTAATTACCAAATAATTAAATTATTTTCGCAGTTCTTGCAGTTTTGATGCGTAATTTGATATATTTTGTAAATTGGCCCCTTAAATTTTGAATTAATTCAATTTAATAACTATTTATATTCCTTATATTTTGTAAATTGGCCCCTTAACCTTTTTATTTTCCTTGCAGCTTTCATTTAGCATCAATTCGACCCATAATCTTTTAATTCTTTTCAATTTAATCCTCTTTAATATTTTTTTAATTTAATACATTTTTTCATTTTTTATTTATTTTATTTTATTGTTTAACATTAATTTTACTTTTTAGGGCAATTTTAAATTGGTCAAAGGTAAGTAATTTAGATCAAATATTTTAATTTTGATTTTCGCAATTAAGATAATCAGGAAATCAAATTGGTACCAAAAGGGCAGTACATGGGTGTTAATCCTTCCGTGACTGTAATCGACTCCGGAATCCGACAAATTTCTAGTAAATCGTAGATCAGGACAATTGTAAGTTATGGTATCCGGTCAACCAAATTAAAATGATCGGTGACGGCTCCATCACAGCAATTCTAGTTGAAACCCGATTTTGGGACCACCTGAAGGACGGTTAGAATAGTTTGGCGACTCCACTAGGGACAGGTAAGAGAGTCAAGCCAAAATTGATTTTCGGTTGTCTTCCTAAGCGAAAATTGTAAGTTTGGATTATAAGTTATCCTTTCGATCATTGTTATTTACCTTTGATTATTATTTAGTAAATAGTTGTATTGATGGTTTTCTAATGATTTCAATTTTTTTTCAAAAAAATCATACATCTCAGGCTCTATTCCCAAGCTCCAAACCATTTTTTAAGTGGGGGAGAAAATGATGCCTTTGTGGGAATTTATTCTTTGTATAGGCCTAGCAAGTAATCTTCGGGGTTCATATACCTTATGTCTTCGTGTGAATTTATTCTCCATACAGACATAAGAGAATGTATCCTCTCGATTTTAACTTGGTCTACATGAACCTGTGATGGGTTTAGAACTGAGGATATGGCAAGCCCAAGGGGGCACCGACAAGGAGAACTCGGGTACCTTTTTTTAAAATCAAACCGTGATATTGCAAGGAATTAAAGCCCACCCTAAAACTTCATTCAAAACCTAGGATACTTGATTTATTTCCTGCTTTATTTTTAATGTTCAAAGCATACGAATTAGAAATATATGCGGTTAGGATTTGTTCATGCGGGATAGAGATAATGTCTGGGTAGGAACATAAAGCATGTGGGGTAAATATCATGTTGGGTTGGAATTTTTATTTTTATTTTTTATTATTATTATTCCTATTTTACGAACTTGTTTCCTTTCATTTTTGTTTTATTTACTTTTTTATCATTGGCATCATTTAAAGAGGTGGTGATTCGCAAAGTGATCGTTAAAACTCAAATAGTTTCTATTAATGGATAAAGGGGTTATAATATAAAGAGGTAAAAAATACAGAAGTACGACTATGTTCAGAAAAGACTTAGAAGGAAAAGGGAGACAGTCTGCAAGATAATTATGTATCAGACCTGGCTGGCTATGCCTCCATCAGCCTCAAACTAAATGATATCCAAGAGTTGTAGAACATTTGGGACAGTTGGAAAAATTACAAGAAATAGAGGTTTTGCCAGCGATATGGTTATATCGTACACCTTCTCTATGTCAAGATAGAAGAACCTCTAATTCGAGCCTTAGTGCAATTTTGGAATCCGGGATATAGTTGCTTTACATTCAACCAAGAAGACATGGTACCCACAATTGAAGAGTATAATACCCTGTTACATTGTGAGGGAATTAGAATGGATCGGGTCTTCATCAAATATATCAAAAGTTATCCTTTCAAGAATGGGTTGGTAAAAGAATACAAAGGCCAAGGAGAAGGAATTGTTTGGACTTACAACAAGCAATTAATGATGAATTATCCCAACGAATGAAAGGTTATCGATCTTTTTGCACTAGGTATCTACGACATGGTTATCTTCCATAAAACTTTGGGATACATTGAGGCAGCTATGGTGGAATCATTCGAACAATTACCTAAGAGAGTGAACCCTGCACCAGCAATCCTATATAAGACATTCCGTTCATTAAACCACTGTAGAAGGATTGGTAGATGACATTTTATAGGATGCTCACAGCTATTTTAGGTTTGGATTCATGGTCTTTTTTGAAAAATTGAAGAAGTCTCTTACCATCGATTCAGTATGACATATTCACCTTTAAAGGAATTCCTTACACAAAAATGGCGATAATGCATTCCAAATGACAAATGGGCAAAAGTATTTATGCACATCCAGGATAAAAACATCGTATGGAGAGCCCTTTGGCTGACATATAGTGATATTCTTTACCGGTGTGGAGATTCAAGAATAGTAATGTTACTTGGGTTGTGGGGAAGAGTTGGCTATTCTCCGCTTTAGCACTTCGATAGTATGGGGCACATCAGTTTGTCCCAGTCACACATGAGATATCTAGGTACGAGTTCGCATATCATGAGGATAATTACAAGAAGAAAGTCAAAGACGTTGCTGAATCATGAAAGAAGATATTTCGTACAGATGTTGTGGCTGCCAAAGACATGTTAACTCCAGACTATATGGAATGAAAGAAGTTGAGGAAGATTGACATTGTTCCCATACCATATCATAAAGACACTCAGAACATTGAAGAGCATCTTAAACCAGTTCCCTTTGAGCTGGAGATACCAAAGAAGGAACTTGAAGTAGAAAAAGAGAAACTGAATCAAAGATTGAGAGAGTTAGAAGGTAAGAAGTTCCAGTGGAAGCTCGACACCGATACTCAAAAGGACCGAGCAGGCAAATTGGAAAATGAACAGAAGAAATTCTTTTTTGAGTTGGAAGATTTGAGAAAATGGTATCCAGAGCAAGTTCATAAAAATACTAGCTTAAAAATATCTTCTGAATATTGAAAAGATGAAGCCGGAAGCTGAAAAGGAAATTTGAAGGACAAGATGACAGAGAAACACTGAAAAACCAGTTAAGGACTTCCTAAAGACAATTATCAGAAATCCAATACCAG